GTACTATACCAGAGGTAGTAAATCCATTGATGAGTACCTTCAAGGCGCCATCACCAAGCTGGGCCAACTTGCGATCTTTGGAAAGCCTTATGATCATGGAAATCGAGTTGAACTACTAGTTGGAGGATTACCTGAGGAATACATGACGGTCGTTGATCAGATCGAAGGAACATATACTCTTCTGAGCATTACAGAGATACATGAGCGCTTGTTGAATCATGAAGTAAAGCTTTTTGCTGTTTGTGATACGACATCATTTGTGATCCCAACATTGGCGAATGCAGTTCAACACCGACAGAAACACAACTACGCCATCAACCAAAAGAACAACAACAACATGCACTAAAGCAACAACTTCTACAGCAATGACAACAACAATCAGAACACTCAGCTCACGCAACGTTCTGATCACACCCATTCAAGCCATATTTGGGTAAGTGTCAACTTTGTAACACTCAAGGACACATCTCTAGACATTTTCCTCAATTTTAGGGTCTGCAAACTGCGAGCAAACAACATGCAAGCAGTCCTTTTAGCCCATGTCAACGGCATGCTAACCTTGCAGTGAGCCAGCCCTATACATCGGGAACTGGTTCTTGGACTCTGGTGCTACACACCATATCACATCAGACCTCACCAACCTTGCCTTACATCATCTGTATCAAGGTGGAGATGATATTCTCATTGCTGATGGGTCAATTCTTCCAATATCATATATGGGTTCATCTACTCATCAACTCCCACTCGTGTTTTATCATTGAAAAACCTACTCTGTGTTCTCAACTTTGATAAAAATCTTATCTCTGTACATCATCTATGGAACACTAATGGTGTTTCGGTGGAATTTTTCCCTGTTGCATTTCAGGTGAAGGATCTCAGCAAGGGGGTCTTACTACTCCAAGGCAAGACTAGGAATGATTTGTATGAACGGCCTGTTACAAACTCTCATCCAATGGCCATGCTCACATCTTCAAACCCAAAAACATCTCTCTCTCTTCGTGGAATTCTCGGCTTGACCACCCTTCTTTTTCTATTTTAAAAACCATTGTTTCTCAGTTTTCTATTCCTACTACTACTAGTGTCCAAAAAATGTGTCTTGTTCTGACTGCTTGATTAATAAGAGCCACAAATAGCAATTTACAAACTCCTCCATTGTCTCCTATCAGACTCTTGAATATATTTGAGTGATGTTCGGTCTTGACATATTGTCTCTATTGATAACTACAAGTACTATGTGGTTTTGATTGATCATTACTCAAGATATACATGGCTCAATCCTCTAAAACAAAATCACAGGTGAAAGGGGTGTTCATTGGGTACAAAACCCTCATAGAAAAAAAGTTTCAGACGACCATTGGTACCTTATTCTCGGATAATGGTGGTAAGTACATCGCTTTGAGAAGCTTCCTCACTATAAATGGAATCACTCACTTGACATCTCCGCCTCATACACCACAACACAATGGTCGCCGTATTGTAGAGACTGGACTTACCTTATTGTCCACGACATCACTACCAAAGGAGTATTGGATGTTTGCTTTCTCTATGAATGTCTATTCATTTAACCCTCTCCACACACCAACTCTCTCGATGCAATCTCCGTTTCAAATATTGTTTGGAGTAGCACCGAACTATGAAAATCTGAGGGTGTTTGGGTGCTTATGCTTCCGTTTGTTAAGACCATACAAAGCTCATAAGCTTCAAGACAAATCGCATCGCTGTGTATTCTTAGGATATTCTCCTACTCAGAGTGCTTACTTTTGTCTTAACCTTGCTACAAACCGTATCTATACGTCAAGACATGCCCATTTTGCCAAGACAGAGTTTCTGTTCCAAACAATATTCACTGTAAGTGATCAACAAAACCCGAGTCAACCTACTACTCAAACCTCTACAGATACAACAATCTCAGTCATGCCACAACCAACTATGGGACCGGTGCCTGAGAACCTTCACCACACTGCTCCTCCTCCACCTAATCCTCAGGTATAACCTTATAACTCTTAAACTATTTCATCTTCTTCCTCTTGAGAGCCCACTACTCTTTCTCAAAATGAATCACAACCCATGATTCAGCCAAACCTTTCTTTCCATGAGACAACTGCTCAAGAACAAAATGAGTTGCTACACACAACTCAGCACACACTACCAAAAAATGCATCCCAAACCAAATCACCCATATCAGTACAACCAACTGAACCACAAAATCCAGTTCCAGAACAACCATAAAATATCCATAAAATGAAAATCTGAGCAAAAATTTTATAACAAAACCGATACAGAAATTGACTCTTCACGATGCATAACAAAAGCGACACTCTTCAAAACCAGCAACAATTATCTAAGCAATGAAAAACAATGAATGGCACGATGAAGCAATAACATAGTTTGATGCACACATTATTAATCATATGTGGGATCTTAAACCACCAGACCAAAATGTCATTTTTTGCAGATGGCTCTTCACAACGAAGTATTTCTCCAATGACAAGGAAGAACAAGGCAAAGGAAGACTCGTAGCCAAGGATTACACAAAAAGATATGGAGTAGAATACTCATAAACATTCAGCCCAGTTATCAAGTCTACCACCATTCGGCTTGTCATTGAAATTCTATCATCAAAGTCATAGACCCTGAAAAAATTGGACATCAACAATTCCTTCCTCCAAGGTGATCTCATTGAAGTGGTTTATATGATGCAGCCACCTGGTTTTATTGATAAGGATCTTCCCAACCATGTGTGTCACCTAAGGAAACCAATCTATGGCCTCAAACAAGCACCCAGCTCTTGGCATCTCTCACTCAAACAACATGTTTTCACGATAAGATTCATCAACTCAGCTGCTGATGCGTCTCTCTTTGTGCACACTCATCGCCACAATATCACATAAAAATGCGGTAAAACTAAATTTCGTAAAAAAAGTATTATCCGAAAAGTTCCCCAGAAAAGATTTTTCAGTCTCTCAAGAAGACTATATCCGAGTGTTGAAACAACCAAACCAGCTTCGTCTAACCCGCCATCAGGTGAATTGGATGGACCTCACCCAACTCACCGATGGCGAGTTGGATTGACCTCGTCCAACTCGACATTGTGCGAGTTGGATAAGCCTCATCTGACTCTCCCGATGGCGAGTTGAGCTGCCACGGCCAACTCGCCATCAGGCGAGTTGGATGAACCATATCCAACTCACTGGATGGCAAGTTGGATTGACCATGTCATCTGAATCACCATCAAGTGACCTGGATCAATCCCACACCACACACTCTTGCCTCACTCTTCGAAACTCTCTCTTTTGAGCTCGATCAAACTGTCTCTTGTTTCATCTCAATCGGAGTTGCCGTTGAAATTTTACGATAAAATTAACAAAGACTTGTTTTCTCATATGAAATCAAATCAATCCTATAAAAACATGACATTTACCTTAACACCATAGTTATCTCGAATATACAATTGGTTTCCATTATTTCGTAAAACCGACATCGAACAGAAGACGATTTCTCCTAAGAAATCATAAAAACTTTTGTCGAAAAATTACCCGAAAAGGCTTAAAACGCGACAAAGGCCCACGTGCGATTTTGGATGAGAATTAACCCAAAAATACTATGACAATTTATCGAATATTTGCAAAAGGTGATAAATGTCTTGTTTCGAAGGATAATCATGAAGATCGAGAAAAATAGAATATTTCCGCTAGAGGATAAACTCGACCCGGGGCAGAAATGGAAAGGGCAAACCGACCCAGGAGGATATATAAGGGATCCCGAGACAAGAGAAAAAGGGGAGAACTTTTTACACTGCAAATTTAGCACTTAGAGCAATTTAGGCAACTTACTGTGTTTGCTATTAAGCTGTGACTCAATTAGGTTTTCAAATCTTAGATTGTTAGAACTAGGATACTCGCCAATATCTCTTGTGGAAAGGCTTTCAGCTGTTTTAAACACTCATATGCAGATTCAGAATAAGATCTCTATTGCTCTGTTTTTTCATCTCGATTAATATTATTTTTCTTGTTATCATATCGTAATCACTTGTCGTTTTTCTCAGCAGATATCCGAGACCTCAGCGAAAGTTAGGATTTCTTAGCTTTCCTCTGATTAAAGAAATTGACGGAGAAAATTTTGATTCTCACAGTTTGGCGCTAGAAAGAGGAGGGGGGGGGGTTATGGATCAATCTAACTCGCAGCCACAAAACGCTTGGTCAACTATGGCTATAGACGCTCAGAATAACCAGATACCTTGCGACGGCAACCCCGTCGACGACAAAATTGAAAGCACTCTTGCAGCGAACGTTTATGTGGTCAACATATACGCAAACACCACGCCACCAGTGCCGCACCTGAGATCGACAGACTCCTCGAAGAAGCTCGGAAAACTCCATTCACTGCTCGAATCAACGACACAAAGGTTTCAGACCCAGGGAAGATGAAAGTCCCTATATACGATGGAACCATTGATCCAAAATTGCATCTACAGAGCTTCCATATCGCAATGGGTAGGGCCAAACTCAGGGATAGCGAAAGAGATGCCGGCTATTTCCGCCTATTCATTGAAAATTTTCAGGGAGCAGCACTTGAGTGGTTCTCTGTGCACTTCTCTGGTACTATCTATATAACATCCATGCATAGTGATTTAGTAAACGCATGTAAGCTAAACCACATATAGCAGTTTGTCGAATATATATATACCTTTGTGAACATTCTGGACTGGAAATGATAAGCTTCTTCAATTACAACACTCAGCTGCACAAAGGCCCAAAGAGATGTCACAAGCCAGTACACAAAGTTAGATTGCAAAGCAAAGATAGGTGCAAATCATCTGACAGTAGGATACTCAGTTTGGTCACCAATTTCAACATTCACATTCTCCTTTGGTATATCTTTAGCTAAAATTACTACCACCATTTCTTCAAGCTTCTAGTAGAACTCGTGTCTGTAAAACCATCGAGTTTGAGATATATAGTGATTCAAGAAATTTATAAAGGAACCAACACTTGCAATAACTAGACTACCTGAACATTAGTTTTTGCAGGTGGTGCAGGACTTGAAACCGGAGGAGCATAAGCTGCAGGTGCTAGTGGTGTTGTAGAGCTTGAGGGTAAAATCGTTGGCCTCTGCTGAACCAAATCTTTCTCTTCCTCTACACAGAGATTAAAAGATTATATTATAAATCTAAGCCTAGGTGCAAAAAATACTGAAAATAATTTAGAACACTTTTACTTAAGCTAAGGAGTTGATGTAACAACCTGCAATGAGAAGATTGCACTCATCAATCATCTTCTAAAACTTTGATTCATTAGGTGCAACGGAAGTGTCATTCTCAAGAGCAGATTTAGCAGTAGTATACTCCTCTAGCTTCATACAAGCAGTGCTGTATATACAGAATAGTATGAGAAGATAAAACTATGATTCCAATCAAATTTAAATATAGCATCAAAATTTCATTATACTTAATAGGGAGGAATGATGATTAATTGATTATATTATGTCATACCCCTTTCTTAGGTAAGATTTAGCCAAGTTAGGTTCCAACTCGATGGCTTTGTTGGCATCTGCAAAAGCTTTTGCTCGCGCAAAAGATTAAAGTGTGAGATCAAAGAATCTAGCAACTAGTTCGAAACAATATAACCTTTATACTGATCTTTCAAAAAAAAAGAATGAAGAATAACTGAAACTAGATGAGCTTTTCCTAGTTTTTGTAATCAAGAAGCAATACCAGAGTTCAAAGATTACTCGGAAACCGTAAAACTAAACGAAACAAAATTGGTTCCGCTATGAACAAACCGTATTGCATAAAGACAAGAACTTTTTAGGGGATGACGAAGAGATTATTACCAGTGAAGTTAAGGAGTTTGATGTTGGCCTGAGCAAGATTGGCGAAAAAAGTGACGCAATTAGGATCCAAGTCAATGGTTTGGAGTATAACTCAACAGCCACATCGAAGTCGTCATCTAAGAAGGCCTCTTTAGCTTTTTCTACTAGTTCCTTCGCAATTGAATCAACTCTATTGAGGATTTGAATAAGCCAAGATTAGTCCGACAGAAAGAGTCCGATCCTTAGATTCTTGTTGTTTCTGAGTTTTAAAGAGAACCTCTGGAGTTCTTTTAAAGCATCACTAGATTCTGATCCGCGCTTTAAAAGCGCAGGTAGGTTTTTTCTTTGCAAGTTTTGTATATATTTGTCAAAATAGGGATGTTGTTTAAGCGAATCAAAAATATATGTTTTTTGGGGTATGTATATTTGATTCTGGACCATGTATTAAAAATAAATAAGATATTGGCTTTAGACAGTGTTTTATTTTAACTGACTTGAATTTTAATGTGGTTTTCAAAAAGATTACAAACTGCATTCGAAAAAATATCAGTATAAAATATAAAGTTATCAATTTCTTATTCCATGTAAACTGATTACATTTGCACCCAAAAAATTGTAGGTCGCTTACAATATAAAGCTGACAAAATGCTGAGTCACTCCATGGAGGCTTCAAACTACCCACATAACGATAGTTTTTTCCTTGGATCTGAAACATGTTAGGGCCAAGTCCTTTTATAACTGCTCGATCATTTTTCCCACCAAGAGATGCAAATGAGAAAACCTTATTATTAGATCTTAAATTATCACGATAATATTTGTTTTCTTCGTCATTCTTTCTAAGATCTCATCCCATAGTGATTTTTTTCTGCGTCAAAATAGTTGTGGGTATAAGTCGATGAAACATGTGATATGTGTAAGATATTAATATAATATCCGTAAAATCTAAAATTTATTGTTAGTTAATATTGTAGTGTATTTTATGAAGCAAGGATATTTTGCAAATGTGCATTTCCTAAAAACAGTTCCTAAAAATGTGGGATTTTATTCCTTTCAAAAACTTAATTAAATGAGTCAAATACCAGACCTCGAAACCACAAAATGGTGCATTTCCTATATAATGGCCATACTTAAAATCGTGTAGGATTGCAATGAAAACATTCATAGCCAAACAGAATTATCAATACTATTATATATAATATACTAATTAATGATATACATCTACATCAAAGAAGAATGTTTCAAATTTAATGTTATAATTATATAATAGTAATTATTTTGTTTTTTAGGACTTTATCCCGAAGGGAGCCCTTCCAGAAATTCTCAAAGGTCCAAGACAAAGCTTTAGACCTAAGAGGGGGTTTGGAAATAGTTTTCAACCAGCAATAGACTCGCCTCGGTTAGTACCTCATTAGCTGCGTCATTTCCCCAAGCGCAAAGATTATAAAAGTAAAATTTTGTAAGACAACAATATACAATGATAATGATAGAAGATATACCATGATTTTGACCCGCTTTAAGTCATGGTATATTGGTGTTTTTATAAAAATCTATTATATTCTAGAAGCTTTTAAGCATATTTATAGGTTCAAGAGTATTTTGGAAGAAAGTGATGTTTTGGAGCATTTTAGAGAGAATTGGAGAAATCACTCGATTTGGTTATCGACAACACAACGAGGTCGACACAGAGTGATCAATATCAATCGATATGTTCAATGCAGTATGGATCGATGCCGAAGGCGCGGAAGACTAATTCGCGAAGCAACATACTTGTAGCCCAAGACTTCACTAAATTACAGTTATGCTGCTCACAAGTTTTTACCAAAGTATTTATACTTTGCCAAGGTGTTTTAGGAAAAGAGAGTTTTCTTGTATTTCTTTTACACATCAAAGGGTTTTTAGGATTCTTAAATTTGGAGAGAATATCCAGAGAGATTTGTGATTGGAACTCTATTGTTTTCTATCTATCTATATTTATGAAGTTTAATTACCTTGTTTGTGTTATGATTTGCTTAGCTATGTCTGAGTAATTCACTTGTTAGAGTTAGGGTTTAAATAGGTTGGTGGGATTAGCCCCAACTATAGGATCGCTTGTTGTGGTATAACCGATCTCTTGTTTGAGAGAGTAAACCACTCCTTAGGGTTTAATCTTTGAGTGGTATCAAATTAGGCGCCGCTGCCGGGGAGCTTTGATTGCCATTAGATTTAGTCTAATAATTCTAGGTTATTCTCGTTTTCTTTAAACCCCATTTCTGACACAAATTCTTTTTTTTTCTTGACTTTTAGGTGTATGCACACCATTACCAGAAGCAACAACTAAAAAAAACTGCTATTCTCAGAACACCCAGCAAGCTTGGAACGTTCGATCCCCAAAGACTTACGCTCCACATCGATCGATAGCAACACTTGCATATCGACCGATTCTCAACCGTCGTCAACCGATCTCACTCTTACATCGATCAACATCCGCACTTCTTCGTCGACCGATTCTCTTCATCCTTCATCGATCGACATCAACACTTCGTCATCGACTGGTTTCATTCACTCGACGTTGATCGATACTACACACCGTACATCGATCGATACTCAGCTGTGAGACATGGTTGCGATTCTGATACTTACTCCAGACGAAAATAGAGACCTGCATGACCAGGAGGGTTATCTGTGTAATGCAGCCGGTCATAAACTAGATGCTCAGGGGACTGTAATCCCTAAACTTGATACTGATGAGGCGACTCGACCCAAGACCTTGGCAGATTACAACTGTCCATACCAGTACTACACCAATATGTCAGCTATTCGTCTTTTAGACATCCTGAGAGATAATTTTGAGTTGAAGCCCTAGTACTACATACTCCTGGCACATATACCCTACTGTGGGTTACCCCACGAGCATCCTATGGACCATCTTGATAGGTTCGAGGATCTTATTGCTGCTAGTAGAGTTAATGGAATCCCTGAGGATTACCTACTTTGCAAGGTCTTCAATTTGTCACTTGCTGAAGATGCTGCACATTGGCTCAAGCAGCTACCACCATGATCTCTTAAATCCTAGGCTGACATCAAGAATTCGTTCTTACGCAAATATTTTGATGAGGCACGAACTGAAGAACTTAGGAGCAAGATTGCTACTTTTGCACAGAAAGTTGGAGAGTCCTTCAAAGACTCTTGGATCAGATTCAATTTCTATCAGCAAGACTGTCCACACCATGGATTCAATGAGGTGCAGCTAATCATCACCTTCTTTAGAGGAATCACTTTAAAATATCAGCTGGTTCTCGATACAACAAGCAAAGAGAACTTCAACATCAGGAATCCAGAAGAGGCTGTGAGACTTATTGAAATCTAGCAAACAACAACAACATCAAGAACACTGACTCTGAAAGGAAGAAATATGTTGTATTCCTTGGGAAGGAGCAGACGGCGGAAGTGAAAGCTAAGTTTGATGTTGTCAACCAACTACGTATGAGACAAGTATGCTCAGCTGAAGAAGCAGAAGCTGTAGACACAGAGTTTGAGGCATATGTGAATTACATTAAAGGTATTGGATTTCAGAGGCCTAGAAACCAAGTTGGAAACATGAACTTCAGTGGTAATGGTTAGAGAAGCAACTTCAACCAAAATTCACAGTATCAGAAACCATACAACAACAACTACATCAACAACAAATGTTATGGGAGTTCATTCTACCAGAATCCACCACAGCAAACTCAAGAGAGCAAGATTGAAGCCATGCTTGATCAGGTTCTTGAAGAACCGCAAAGGCTAACAGTGGATTTCAATGGGAAAATTTATTCTATTTACAAAGATATGGACACCAAGATTGAGACTTTGGGTACTCAGGTGAAGAACCTTGAGACACAGGTAGTTCAGACTGGAGAAGATGTTAGGAGGCAAGAAGGGGATGAAGCTATGAAACACCACGTCAACGCCATACTGGATGATGATTTCTAGCAAGAGATTAAGCATGTGAAGATGCAAGGAGATGATTGCGAGGAGAAAAAATTATTGAGTTTCGGCGGATCACATTTACATTGATCGACGCCATCCTTTGCAAATCGATCGTCACGCTCCGACACATATCGATCGACAGACGTCTATACAGATCGATCGATATCAATCGAGTCGACTGCATCGTGCAATGCAATCTGGAATTTGACTCACAAGGAGTTTGCAGAGAGACACCCACATCCACCCAGCTCTTTTCTACCCACTATGGATTGAAATCATGAGTCAGACATCGATCAACAGAGAGATCACACCATCGATCGACAAGCTACAGTCACCATCGATTGACGCGACCTTCTCACTTGCCGAGTGCGTTTGCCACTAATTGGTTTAGTGAATCAATGCACTACCACCATCAACTAACCCACCAGATACTATCACCAACCCTTCTGACACTGTACCAGTACCTATGGACATTGACAAGGCCAGTACAAGAAGAACCTTGAGGAAAAGGAAGG